TCTCTCTCCCCCCCTTTCTCTCTCTCTCTCTTTCTCTCTCTCTCTCTTATATATATATATATATACTTGTTGTCCTCTTCTCTCTCTCTGCCTACGGTTTTACCGGGCAGTTCTGTTTGTGACGATATATATACATATATATATATATATATGTATGTATATGTTTCGTACGTCCGTTCGGAAAGAAGGAGAGAGAGACTTCTTTGTCACGACGTCCGTACGTTGCGTCTGCATCGCGGAGGGTAGAGAGAGAGAGAGAGAGAGAGAGAGAGAGAGAGAGAGAGAGAGAGAGACATTCTTCTTCGTTCTTGGTTGTTTTCTTCTTCTTCTTCGTTTTCGGTCTACTTCTTCATTCTTCGTCTTCTTCTTCTTCTTCCTTCTTGGTGTTTTGCTTCAACGGAAAAATTTCCCAGAATTAAATAATCATTCTATAGTAAAATTACAATCTAAATTTCAAATTTGTATTCCATCTTAAAAAATGTCATTCCCATTTTAAAATTTTTCATCTTACTTGCAAACTTTCATTCCAAGAATAGGGTATCCCTTCTTATTTGGACTGCATGCTAGAGATGGAATGAAAGTCTGGATGAGTTCATGAAATATTTTAATTGGACTGTTATTCTAAGTAAGGATTTTCAGTCATAAATAGGTTAATCCAATCTAAATTAGAAGATATTTGTTGTAGTAGAATGAAAATTTAATTAAAACATTTAATAAACTCGTCCAGACTTTCATTCCATCTTGAACAAATAGATGTAGTTAGAAGGGAAAATTCATATTTAGACGAGAACTTATCAAATAAAACTGAAAATTTTAGAATTGGACGAACATTGGAATTATAATTTATAAATATGAAGGATTTTTTTTTTATGGAATGTTTTTTCAACTTTCATTTCTCGTGGGAATTTTTCTGTTGTTCTTCTTTGTTTTTCGTCTTCTTCTTCATCTTTCTTCTCTTGCTCGTCTTTCTTGTTCTTCTTCCGCTTTGTCGTCTTTCTTCTTCTTCTTTCGCTTCTTGTTCGTTGTAGGTCTCCTTCTTCTTCTTTCTTCTTCGTCTTCTTGTCCTTCATTCGCTTCGTCGTCTTCTTGTTCTTGTTGTTTCGATTCGTCATCTTCTTCTTGTTTGAGAGAGAGAGAGGGGGAGAGAGAGAGAGAGAGAGAGAGAGAGAGAGATGGCCGATGAAAGCGGCGCGGCGTCCCCACGTTCGACGGCGTCATTGCCATCGTTGTCTTCGTCAGCTGCGCATGGCGGGGGGGGGGGTGGTGCGAACCCCGTTCCCGTGACGAATCCCGTACCTCCGCCCGCCTCCCCATCATCTCCATCAGCGCCCT